TCTTTGTTCACTCGGCAAAAATTGATGGATATTGGTTGGGAATCGATGTTACACCCACCATATAGCCCTGATCTCGCGCCATCGGATCACCACTTATTTCGATCCCTGGACAACTCCCATCGTGGTAAAACTTTTAACGATGATGACGCTGTAAAATCTCACTTAACTCAGTTTTTGGCCGAAAAGGATCAGACTTTCTACGAGCGTGGAATTTTCAAGTTGTCGGAGAGATGACAAAAGGTCATCGAACAAAATGGAAAATACATTACAGATTAAACTTCGTTCCAAGTAAAAAAGATTTTTTATTTCATTGAACAAAGCGGCAATTACTTAGTTGCCAACCCAATATTTTAAATTAGGTTGGCAGAGTTAAACAGAGTTATCAGAAAAAAGTCCTTGTTTCCTCAATTGGGAGGAGTGAAAGAAATAACGATCTTTTTGACAACCCTGGTATGAATCCAGCGAGGATATCTATGAATGAACCTGACATATTGTAACTGAAGGCTTTCATGTCCGGTGCTGAAATTTTTTTTATTCTCAAGTCTCGATAAGAGTCATATATCAAAGCGATATACAATGTACGATCCACCGAACTGCTTCACATTTTCAACGATATACATTGTGTATACTTGTGCTTGATAAATATGCAAATATTTAATTTAATCTCAACGCGGGCGACAAACAGATTAATCAAGATAAATGAAAGTCGCGTCCCGTTTACGCCGTCACAAACGGCGACGAATGGAAGAATTTGGCGGGAAAATAAATAACAGCACCATCTTGCCACTATGCGATAACTTAAACATGTTATTGTCGTTGGGTTTTCTTACACGGTATCGATGTAGAAGATTCTTATGATCAGTCCTGTGCTTGTAGTTGACTTTTCGGTTGATTAAGTTTTGTAGAAAGTTTGTAGGCTACACATTACGCTTGTGGTGCCTCCTGAGGACAAAAGAATGGAGCTTTGTTTAGGGTCTGTATAGCGTCGATTGGAGTACATAAAGTACAAAACACTCAAACTCTTAGCCAAAATTTATATGTATATGTATATACCGATTTCGGTTAATAATAAGAGCTTGGACCAGAGTTTCATTATTTCTCCAAGAAAGGCGTCACTGTCGTCCGCATAATGCACAATGTAGAGTCATCTGAAAACATTGTAACAAAATTAGGCAAGCAAATGGTAAACAAGGGTACAAAACTGTTCAGAAGAATCTGCTGCATCGATGTCGTGTAAGAAAATCAAACTGCAGCAACACAAAATATCCATATATAATATTGCTTTCGTATGCTTGCTCGGCTGGAAAAATCGGTGTCTAAAAAAGGAAAACAGGTCAAAAATTTGCACGTGTTAACATCTAGCGGAGGATACTGAAAATAAATTTGCCAACAGTTTGAGCGTGTTGCCACTATGTGGAACTGCGCTCTACGGACATTTAAACGAATTAAATATGTTTCGCCGGGATTTGCGTTGCGCCTTATAACAGAAACGGCCAAAATCATTTTTGAGGGTTTAAATTAAAGCGAAACGATCATTCTTTAAGATGAGACCATTTTGGTTTAAAATAAAATTGAAAATCAAATAAAAAAACTGATCAACCATAATCGCAAGTTAAGAAACTAGTGATTCGATTTTCAGAAGTTTCTTCAAATTGATTTTAAAACGAATTGCAGTGGGAATATTCGAACTTTCAAGGCTTAAATTGACACTGAGGATTGTATTTGATGATTAGGTCACTTAGGTTTAAAAGAAAATTCGTAATTATGACAAAGAACTGATAAATTGTGATCACAAGCTTAGAGAGAAATGACTCCATTTTGAGGGGTTCCTTTAAATCGATTTTAAAATATATTCCGGTTGGAATTTTTGAACTTTCGATGTCTTGTTAAATTAAGAAAAAAGGTTGAGAATATTTCATGCTAGCGCAACTAATATTTCATTACTGGAAATGGAAAAATTATTATTTTTATCATATTCTCCGTTTCAGCCTTACAACCATAAAATTTGAATTTGACTTACAATTGTAGACTTATAATACATATTTTAAAAATGATTTATTTATGGATAACAATTTATCACATAGTAATTTTAGCGACTGACCACATTATTCTTATCTATTTGAAAAATTGTTCGGTTCGGAAAGCAATTTTACAGCAAGAACGACTTCGCTTTTAAACGTATATTTTTGAAATTAACGGTAAAATCGAATACGCAGGCGTGTCAGTGATCGGAAACGGAAACATCGATGTGAACGTCGACGTGAACACGTGTTGAGTGAGTCGCGCCACGTTCAAATAGCGCGGCAATCGCGCTCGCAGTGACGTAGCGCAAGAAAAATTCTAATTATCTGATATTGGAACGTCAGACGGTGGCTTTCGCGTTGATTCTAATAACCGCATTATCGCAGGACAGAAAATTCTGTTGCGGATACACTTGTCAAAGTGTTGTTATTGAAATGTGGTATATAGTCACTGAAAAGATAAATCGCAATGTATCTCCACAAAGTGATTCAACAAAGTGAGAGTGTTTCTTTGAGTTCAGTGACGTAATGTATTTCACTTCCATACTTTCAGTCATCAGAACATAATAGTATACAGTCACTTTTCACCGCTAACCAACCGAATCCTTTTGTTTGTCCGATGTACATTTCGGGATTCGACCATTAAAAGTATAATATGATCGAAACGGAAGATCTGCCGAGAATGACATCATTGTCACCTTACAACGATGCTGGAACGCATTTAAAGTCAACGAAACTGATACACGAGGTAAGCAGATAAAAAGCTCATATACGAAAACTTATAATGTCTATTTATCTCAACGGACACGCGCAGCCGAGTGTACATGTCCGTGCTGCATTTGTAGCGTATTGTTTGATTACCCACTTGCATGTGGTAGTAACCGACAAACCTGGCAACTGCGCAAAGCTCGACAACGTGACTGCGACCGGAATTTTCTTATTGTAATTTTGATTGCGTGCTTCATCGGTACTTTTAAAAATACACCTTATCAACCGACCACTATACGTACGCGTCACGATAAATTGACGCTTCGACGAATTTTTTCCTTCACTTTCACTTCCGCGATATTGTTATCAACAGAGAGAAGGACGATTCTGTCTCTTCTAAAGTCTTGCGCTACTATACCCGTAAACATCGTCGCGCTTCACCTATGAACTTAATTTACATGCCATCATATGTGTATTATGCTATTACGCGCGTATACAGGGTGTCCCATTTTAATCGCTACATGCGATTATCTTCGGTACTATTCGTTATTTGAAGAAATGTTTTATATGAAACTTTTTCCATTTTGAGGGAGACGTAATCCAGTGCCGCTATTTTGTTTGTCACTGTACGCATCTTTATTTTTTTTAGTGGAAAAGAGTTTATTAATCTATTTATGTCGAAAAACTGTTACTTTGGAAGATATTTTAATTTCAATATTGTCAATCTTTTTATGGGAAGGAAAAGGTTTTTAGCCGTCTGTCAACAAGTATTAAGATACGAGGAATACCTATAATATTTTTATGTACAAAGTATAAATTCAATGTTTACTGCTCGACTATTTTCTTACTTAACTTAAATCTTGCAACAACTTGCAATTATATCATTATGCTAATTATTATATATTTATATAATATTTATTAATTTATATAATATTATAAATATATATTATATATTTATAATTATTATATATAATCATTATGCTGATTATTATATCTATATCCAAAATACAAAAATGCCACATGTCATAGAATATTACGCAGTGTATACTTATGAACTAATAATAGAATATAGCAATATTTATATTTAATATAGCAATATTAAAAGTCATAGTTTTTCTACATAAATAGATTAATAAATTTTTATTCAGAAAAGATTACCTTCGTGTATTCTTCAAGCGTGCACTTACAAACAAAATAGCGGCACTGAATTACGCCCCCCCCCCCCTCGAAATAAAAAAAGTTTCGAACAAAACATTTGTTTAAACAACGACTAATTCTGGAGATAATCGCATGTAGCGAAATCACAGGTTCAGCGCCTCAACAAAAATATTACAATGTATAAATTTCTATACCACATTTTCAACAAGTATGTAAATAAATCAATAAAAGAAACAATTAAAGTTTCTCCCACTACATACACTACCTATCCAGCTATAACAAAATCACAATTAAAAGATTGAAAGTACATTTAAAAACAAATTCAAGCGCGGGTTATAATAAAGAAAATAATAAACGAAAAACTACCGTTACGTAATAAATCGTTTTTCAATTAAAATCCGAGCGAAGATGCAAACGAATGTATCGTTACATAAACGCGTTACACGATCTATTTCAATGCAGCATTATCATTCCTTCAAATCGAATCGAATGGGAATATATGTACGTATATGACTCTAAGCGAAGTATAGCCGGTGTACTATTTGTGTTATCGACGATCAAATATAATAAGAGATAAAAAGGCTTATTCGAATTTCATTATGAAGGTAGAGCAGTATGTTTGAACACTTTCCGTGCCGTTGTTGAATGGCTCAATTGACGACAATATTGCAACCATTAACGTACGTCCAGTGTCGCTCTATCGATACTTTGAAACGGACACTATAAGAAGCTGAAACTCGCGTAGACGATAATACTAAATGTCGAGCGTTAAATAAGAGCGAAGCCGATGAGTTTAAAGCTGATCGAATCGCTTGTCAACAGAAGCAAAAAGGGAGAAACGTACGCTTGCGGCGGCCCTGAGAAACGACATTGTCGGAGTGAGTGCTGAGTCACATATCGCCAGCGATCTCTCTCTCAGCAAGGTGTACTAGTTTGTTCTCCGTGAAATGCACTCTATTGTATTAATTTAACGTTATCATCGTCAGGATTATAACGTCGCCGGAGCAAGATGATTTAACGAAAAAGGTTACTGGCGCTTGCCGCGGGCCTCGAATAGCTATCAGGAAGAAATTGAAAATAGTTCGAGACCCGGTATCACATCAATGGATCTGTCAATTTCAACCAGTTGATCGAATTGTAACGTTCCATAATAACTGGCCTGGCGTGACAACAGGAGAAAAGTGTCGCCACTGATCTAACGGATTACTATCTGGGATTGTCAAATAAAATTTGAGGCGCGCGTGGGTCGTACGCGGGGTGCACCGAAGTTTGACGTGGCTAGTGTGTGTTTTGAGGTTATTTTTATATCCGAGTAACTGACCTATACTTGTTTAAAGAGAACCTCCGAATCTTTATTTTCATTCGGACTGTCTATCGAATAAGTTGCTCCAGCAGCGGCTCCAAGAACTGTGTTTCGTAACTTCATTGAAAATCCATGTTCGTCTCATTAAACGTGAGAAACAAGAAATCGGAAGTGCGAAACTCGGAGGAAAATATATGAACTGAAGAATCGTTTTGGATTCTGTGTGCAAAGTGAAAAATAATATAACATAATCTAGTGTGATTTAAATGATTAAGGCACGCGTAGCTGTACAAATGCTATTCAGTGCTTAATATTAATCGAGCTAAAGCTTCGATATGAACTGCCGTTTTATCATGACATCTGACAAAGTTTTTATACGTAATATCCCTGCCAGGCCTCTGTGACAATACATTAATTTATTATTGGCCGTGAATATATTTAACAGCTATAGGTGATCCAACCGAAAGACGACAAAATGTTATGCTTAAAGAAATTGTACAGCGAAGAACTGTTTCAGCTCGCGCTGTTACTGTCTTTGCTACGAGTAGATCCGGAAGCCTACTTCGGTTTGGATGTACAAACCATCGGCGTAGGCTCTTTGGATTTAAACAATGGCTCCGGATGGCATACCGACGCGCACACAATTGTCCATCGACCTATGTTCGTTCATCCAAAAAATCTAGACTCGGTGTTGCTCAACTATGAAAGAGATTTATTCGAAGATTTGAATTCGCTAGGAAGATACAATAGAATGAATTCTGGATTAAACGACATCCATGCGTATTTGTTGAATGTCGAAGAAACAAGAAGAGATACTGCTGTAGCAGGACCCAGTATTTTGACAGATTCGAATAGAAATGTGACATCACCCGATCCGCCAACCTCTTTGCAAAATCCCGATGAACCAGCTGCTACAGCCGAACTTACCCAAGAGGTACTTCTTTTTATTCATAACATAAATTAAATTTTTGCTTCGTTTCAAATTGTGCATTTACGCTAAAACATAAATCGATTGGTATAAAGTTTACTTCAAATTTATATTGACTTCTTCTTGCCTTATGATTTCTCTTGTTCCATGCTCATCGGAGCTACTTTATCATTGATAATTTACTATAAGAAAAGAAATTTCACTGTGATTTCTAGAAATTGTACGATATTTGGATATGTTAAATTTTGTTTGAAACTTTCATAACTTTAATCTGATATAATATTATAAGGCTAGTAATGTTTAAAAATGATATACATTATTACATTGACAGAAGATCGATTCTAGACAAATATTTAGTATTCTTCACAGAATTTACAAAAGGATCTTAACGCAAATCTTAATTAAATATTATCTAATGTTTCATTTATAACTGATATATGACATACGTACTCATTTG